TAAATGTCGTAAATTAATAGCCTAAATGTTATAAATTAACAGTTTAAATCTTGTAAATTAATAGTTTAAATGTTGTAAATTAATTGCTTAAATATTGTAAATTAATAGTTTAAATGTTATAAATTAATAGCTCAACTGTTGTAAATTAATAGCCTAAATGTTATAAATTAATTGCTTAAATATTGTAAATTAATAGCCTAAATGTTATAAATTAATAGTTTAAATCTTGTAAATTAATAGCCTAAATGTTATAAATTAATAGTTTAAATCTTGTAAATTAATAGCCTAAATGTTATAAATTAATAGTTTAAATCTTGTAAATTAATAGCCTAAATGTTATAAATTAATAGTTTAAATCTTGTAAATTAATAGCCTAAATGTTATAAATTAATAGTTTAAATCTTGTAAATTAATAGCCTAAATGTTATAAATTAATAGTTTAAATCTTGTAAATTAATAGCCTAAATGTTATAAATTAATAGTTTAAATCTTGTAAATTAATAGCCTAAATGTTATAAATTAATAGTTTAAATCTTGTAAATTAATAGCCTAAATGTTATAAATTAATAGTTTAAATCTTGTAAATTAATAGCCTAAATGTTATAAATTAATAGTTTAAATCTTGTAAATTAATAGCCTAAATGTTATAAATTAATAGTTTAAATCTTGTAAATTAATAGCCTAAATGTTATAAATTAATAGTTTAAATCTTGTAAATTAATAGCCTAAATGTTATAAATTAATAGTTTAAATCTTGTAAATTAATAGTTTAAATGTTGTAAATTAATTGCTTAAATATTGTAAATTAATAGTTTAAATGTTATAAATTAATAGCTCAACTGTTGTAAATTAATAGCCTAAATGTTATAAATTAATTGCTTAAATATCGTAAATTAATAGCTTAAATGTTATAACTTAGTAGCTTAAATGTTGTAAATTAATATTTTAAATGTTGTAAATTAATTGTTTAAATGTTGTAAATTAATAGCCTAAATGTTATAAATTAACAGTTTAAATCTTGTAAATTAATAGTTTAAATGTTGTAAATTAATTGCTTAAATATTGTAAATTAATAGTTTAAATGTTATAAATTAATAGCTCAACTGTTGTAAATTAATAGCCTAAATGTTATAAATTAACAGTTTAAATCTTGTAAATTAATAGTTTAAATGTTGTAAATTAATTCCTTAAATATTGTAAATTAATAATTTAAATGTTATAAATTAATAGCTCAAATGTTATAAATTAATGGCTTAAATGTTGTAAATTAATAGTTTAAATGTTGTAAATTAATTGCTTAAATGTTATAAAGTAATAGTTCAAATGTTGTTGATTATTAGCGCAAACATTATAAACTGATAACTTAATTAGTAACAGTGTTTCTACGACTTTCACAGTACGAGAGTTCGAAAAGAAAGAAACTCGAGCTCAAGTCGCGTGTGCCTTATATACCTAATAACATACACTTGACAAAGTGACAAAAGGTAAACAGCACGTTAACGGTTTGCTGATGTAAAAACTGATTTTTCCATTAGAATACAATCAAATTTAATAATTTTTTAACTTTTATTGCAAATTGACGCCTTCAGCAATTTATTACAATAACCATTTTTAAAATTTTAATAATTTTTACAATATAAAACTAAATTCATACTTTTGTAGTACTAGTTTTTGATTTAGAACTGTGTTAATTTATATCAAATGCCTCTTTATGCAGAAAATAACTATACTATTGTATAATAGTCAAACGGTATAACTATTATAAATTAAGAACATAATTATTTTTAATTAATGAGAGCATATTGTTATAAATTAATAAATTAATAAGTTTACTTAGATTAATAATAAATTGTTTTTAAATGAATAGCGTAACTGTGACTACAAAAAGTACTAGCGCATTGCCTTATTTTTTGATAAAGCATTTTTATCAGCTTCTATACATTTCATTTTCATAGTATTACATTTTTATAGTTACGTGAAAAGTATATGTTTGTGATTCTTCGGTTTTTAGTCGTGTTTGTAATAGCACATTGTGCTTTGTTCCAACGTTTCGAGAACATCACAGTTCGCTTTTCCGGGACAGACCTGTTTCACGCAGAACTTCGCTTCCAGTGCAATAAACGTGTCCAGAAACATATATTTCAATCGATGTAGGACCACGACATTAAACACATTCATACTACTAAATTCATTTAATTCAGACGTCTTTTTCAAGACTCAAGCGAATCTTTTCAAGATAAATCGATATTAATTATTGATCTATCGCTCTCTGTTCTTCTATCGTATCTTCTGACGATATATAATCGCCTGAGATAATATCAGTAAAACTTTGAAACTTCTCGGCTCAAGCTTCATAGAAAAATAAAAATTGTCTTTGGAAAACTCTGTAAAACAGCGTAAAAATATGACTTCGAAATAACCAAAGCTACGTACATAGTAAGATACATAGCTGTGGGTTAAAGATGAAGTTGTTTTATCATCCATATTCTTAAAAGAGATCTCACGCGCAATGGGTCATTCTGTAAGAGCGCGCAAGAGCGGACACATTTGCGAATAGTTTCGAGTTACGATGAAGAGGGTAAGTTGCTTGGCGTAGTTCCATGGACACGGCCGGAATAAAGGAGGTTTCTTTGCTTTATGTGACCTCTGTGTCGACACTACTTTCGTAACAGACCGTATTGTCCCTTGCACTCAACGAACAGTCGTTTTGAACTTGAAGTGGAAACGAGCACTATCAAACGAATTGCTGTTCAAATACTTATCGAATTCTCTTTGTGCCGATGTAAGCCACATGCAGAGGAACGTTTAAATTTATAAGAGATGGGATCGACCGAATCATCCAGCATTCAGAGATCAATGGGTTTATTTGATTTCGTTAACTTTACCGTTTTTACGGCCGATAGTGATAAATCCGATCGATATTGATAAAAATAATATCTGCGGTGGTATGTTGGCGAAGGTGTCCGCAAGAAATACTCTTGATGTTCAACAAAAAAGTTTATTAAACTATTAACAATCAACGGTCAACAATTTACGGTCAACAATTAACGATTAACTATCAACAACAAATAACAATTAACGATTAACTATCAACAACAATTAACGATTAAGAGTTAATAATCATGATCATTAATCAATAATCAGTCAAGATCATTAATCATTAATCATAATCAAGAGTTAATAATCACGTACCTCTAATAGCGTTTGCTTCGCTATGACGCTAACCTTTCGCACCTCACAGCTCGGGGCAGAATGAATCTTTGGTTTGAAAACAAACGGATTCTATTCTTTGTTGTCCCTCGACATCCCCACTACGCACGCGTTTATCAGATGTCTGCGTCGGTTGTCGCGTATGCAAGCTTCCGAATATTCGGCGAAAAAACCGTAGAAATATCGATGCTACATTAGGTATGTTGACCTTACGCTTTGAAGGTATAGCGCTTTGTGTCTCGAAGCCGTTGGAAAGTTCCGTGGTCGAGTGCCGCCACATATCAAATAACGAGCTTGCATTCATTTGATTGAAATTAAAACAGAATTCTACTAATATTAATAAATTTGATAGATCTTTGGTTCAGTTGAATTGTACCTTTAACTTAGGATATTCATTCAAGAAATTAGTTTTACCCTTTGCGAGTAAATTTTATTCGTAATCATCAAAGCATAGACAGGTAGATGTAGATCGAACGAAACGTAACGGATGTTCGTGATTTAGAAAGGACGTTCGACTTCCGGTGCAGCTGCAACGAGCCATGGCCACGGAGGCGGAAGCCGCAAGGGAGGCACGGGCCAAAGTGATTGCAGCGGAAGGAGAGATGCTGGCTTCCCGTGCTCTGAAAGAGGCCAGTGATGTCATCTCCATGAGTCCAGCTGCTCTTCAGGTACGTTCCAGACTGTCTCCTCGAGGAACGTCAAAGATATCTTTGTAATTCCACTGCGTTGCTTCTCTCGCTGCTCTGTGTGTGGTTGAGAATCTACCGTTAATTACGCTGTACCACTAAATTAAGCCTTCGTCCAACAAATTATTTTGGTTTCTCTAGAACGTTACTATGGCGACCTTTCTACAGTCGTCGGTAACGGAATCAACGCAGGTCTCTTGAAAGTCTTCGTTTAACCATTCTATCCATCCAAATAGGACCGAAACCTGACCAGAACCTAATCTCAACTTAACTCGCCAATTTCCATAGACACTTGCACATGGCACGTTCTACTTATTTTACGGCATAATGTCATGACATAATTTAGAACGAAAGCGATAGCTTTTAGGCTCTGACGTGTTCTGGTACTCAGTTTAGTATTTTATTTCAACGCATTCAAAGTCAACGCAATATTTTTTTCGCAACGTTTCTTGCAGTAGATATATGTTTACTAATAACATTTAAACGGTTTCACACTCTAACAACAGACGCATTTGTTTACCATAACGTAATTGCGTGCATCGAAGAGACTTGCTTGTATTAAAATGTTGAACTTTTATTCAGAAAATTTTTGTACCATTTCTCCATAAAACAGAGTATAGAATAAAAAATCAACCAACAGACTGTAATTAAATTCCATGGAGAACGTACAGCGAAATTAGAATGGTAAATTCGAGGGAAAAAACCGCGGAAAATATTAACGCTTCGAAAATATCAATCCAAATGGCCATTGCAAGTGCGCGGAAAGAATCCGAATTTTTCAACACCGACTAACTAAATTATAATACAATAGAATCGTTAAACAATTTCGTGTAAAAACACAGTTGCATGTGTGTTATGTTCCATAAGTGGGCTCTCTCGTACGATCATTCGATCGAATTAATATCGTAGCGAAATTTTACGAGTTCCAAGCTACGATATAACTTAACTTTATCATAATTATTCGTTTAAGGTGATTTTTCGAAGAAATTTAGTTTGGAAGGGTTCGAAACAAACTTAATATCTAACGCGAATGATTGGAAAACAAGCGAATGTCGCGTTACTTTTAAACAACAGCGTGCCCTTCGACTACTCCGCGATAGAAAAGGCTAAAAGACAAATTCAACGTTCGCTGAATTTTTCATTGTATGTCCAACAGCTACGATATCTACAAACATTGAGCAACATATCTGCGGAGAAGAATTCGACCATCATCTTTCCCTTACCGGTCGAGTTTTTGGCTCCGTTCTTTACTAACAATTTCCATCCAAGCGCAATTCAAGAAGCTGTTCGAACATCGTCGGAGCAGTTGTGCTCGAAGCAGCTCAAGATTCAGCCCGACATCCACTCAAACGCAGACAATATCGACGTGTCAAAGTGAAGAGGTGTGTCAAACTTCGATTATCCTTAGCAAATTTCGCCAACTTCGAACGGTATGTCGGATTAATTGGGGTGACCTTTGATCCAATTCACTGGTAAGCAGATACGCTCGATTGGAAACCGATACGAGCATACGCGAGACTCGACGCGTTTGTTGGTCGTCAAAGCACCGCGTCACCCTTTAGCTAAAATCTCTGTTTCATTTCGCGCAATTTTGGTGTGTAGGAACGACAGACGCGCGACCAGAAACGCGACAAACTCGACAAATAAATAGGTAAACTTGTAATTCGTCACCGGGCTCCCCGTTTGATCTCCGAGCCTTTACGCGACGAAAAGAAAATATACGCGTAGACGAATGTCGCGAGCTCGACCTTTTCAACGAACGATTGCGACGAGAAGATACGTTGACGAAAACACGTTCGTATTAGAGTTCTTTTTTTGCGCGAGGAAGAGAAAACGCACGTAAGTTGAAAATTTCGAGTTTGCTGTTCGTAACGACCGATTGCGATAGAAAGACGCGTTGGTACATATAAGTTTTATGGTTTTGAAATGATTGCAGCTTACAATGATATTGCTTAGAAAAGGGTCTCCACGTACCCATGATTTCCCAATGAAGCGTTTTTTTTCCATCAGGTTCCACTTCGTTTTAGTACCAAATTTTTGTAGTCGCGTGAAGTTACGAAATTTGATATGTTTGATCTGATCGATTGTTATTGGATTGGCAACTAAGAGATTGCGGATTTTGTTAATACCACCTAATGACAAAATCCGTAATCACTTAGTTGCCAACTCAATATTATAATTTGTACGCGAATTTACCGCTTACTAGCAGATATTTTCCGTACATTAATTCTTTCAGAGTTATGAATCTACGAATATCTATATGAGCTTTGAAAAATTGTTGATCGCATGATACGAATCTATCTATGCGTCTACGTGCAGCAGTATGCGTGTCGAATATAATTTTTACGTCTGGCTTTACAAATTAAAAATAAAAGCAGCAATAACGAATTCTGCCTTTAAAATCTACGCTTATAGGTATTCAGTTTATCGGACTTTTTCTCTCGTGAATGTAGAGTTCATTACAAGTGATTTAACACACGTTCAAGTTTTAGCATTTTGGCTTTCGCATAATTTCAAGAATTCGATATCATTTCTATCAAAAGCGAGAAATTATTCCATCATAGTGAAAAATAAGCGGCGTATAATAAACTCGTGTCATCAGATATCTTCGGACTTGGAACATTTAACAGGAGCAAACAAAAACGTATTATTAATTGATCAAAGGGATAACATTTCCATCGAATAAAAGATGTGTTACATTGAATTTATATTTAACGTCTCCGTGAAGTATATTTAATGTTAAGTGGTTACTGAAGTGCGAGTAGATAAGCTACCTCTACCATTTTCGTATTAATTATGGACGCGATGTACGGCGTAGAATTAAATTTTACACAGTTTCAAGCGTGTTTTAAACATTTTTCAAAATGAGCATCTCGAGCCCCTTTCACAAATATAAATCCAAATTTTCGATAATTATAAGATAATTTTTACCAACACGATAATTCTTACCAAACATGAAGTATATACGATTTGTTAATGCATATATTTTTAATTAAAAAATTGTAAGCAGTATATTAATCTAGAACTGACAGGGGCTTGATTAATTAATTTTTATCTTTTCAAACAAGATATTAATTTACAAGTAGCCTCTGCAGCCCAAGATTAAATTGTATCCATAAAATACATATGGTTTTGTACACATCAACGAACGTCGCTATCTGAAAGTTTAATTTCCGCTACCTAACGCACATACGTCTATCTGAAAAGTAGCAAGATCATCGATATATTAATCAAGCACTGGTCATATTTGTTAAAACCATTCATACGATTCGAAATGTCGTATTTTCCCTCATCGTCGATACAACGCCAGGAATGGCTATCGATAAATAGCAAATAGATTTCTGGGTTTGTCTCTTTCATTTCGCTTGTATGCAAGTAGCGTTTACTTGTATGGGTGAAACGTCTTCACTACGAATCTTCTATTGCAATTCTATTTGGGATTTTAACGATAAGGAGAAGTAACGATGATATTAAAGTAGTTTCTCCGAGCTAGCAGATGGTATAAAGATCGGAAAGCAAAAATGGCCTTTTATTTTCCTCGCGTGGTTTTCTCGCGAGCAAACGTAACTTCGAAACGACAGTAAAAATGAAGACACGATAAGATGAAATTATGTTCCCGGCAGACTGCTGGCAATCGGGTAAACTGTAGAAACAAATACTCGCACGCGCGCGATCAACGACTTGCGTGGAATCGCTTGTTAAGCTTCAAAATGAACGACACGGAGAACCAACGTCGATTTCAGTCAATTTCCAGAAAATCGAAGCTCGATGTGGAGTTATGGTAGACGAGAATATGGTCGCGTCTCGTCACGATGCGTAAATAAATATTGTTCGCATGAATTCGAATTTAAAGGTGCGTGTGGAGGATTGAACGAGCCCCTGGAGAGAGTTTCCGCGTCACGTTCCAGGCGTTACAGCGTGCCGTGAAAGCGTGTGCCCTCCGTCGCTCGCGTGTCCCTCGTTGCAGAAGGTTGAACACGGGCTAAAGTGGAACGTACGTGCCGCGTCGGCCTGCTCTTTATGAAACGGTGTAAAACGGAAATTGCGCGAACCCGTACATTGAAATTTACGTATCGAATGATAACGTGGCCATTTGTAATTTCAGCTTGGCGCGTCGCGAAACGCGCCATAGAACAGCGAGGCATCCACGAGCGAAATAAGAGCGTACGTCTGGTGGAAATGAAATAGGCTTTTGCCGGTATTCGGGACGAAGCAAGCTGCACAAGACCGGCAGACCACTTAAATTGCCTGGTCGCGATAAAAATAATTAAATTCGTTTGGCCGATGTCAAAACCAACCGCCACCGCCGGCTGGAACGTTAAACGGTGCGCGAGCAAGAAACGAACAGAAAGTATAAATTTCAATTTTATTACAGCGACCTCGTACGACCACCGAGGATATGTTTCCTTCCCGTTTTTTAACAGACGGGTAAAAAAAAATATTATCCCCGCGCGCGTAATGTATATAGAATGTTTTATAAACAACGGAGGAGCTTTAACGCGGACTATTATTTACGCGGAAAATTCTTCCGTGAATTATAACGCTTGTTAACCGTGCCACGACACACGAGTCCGGCCAGGATTAAAGAGCGCCCGTAGTTGCATGGAAACTCGCAGGAAGCAGTACGTTAAAAAAGCAATTCATTGCGAACGCGAGGATTATCGCGTGAGCTAGGAACTCGATAAACGACTGCTTACAAAGATGCGGCTCGTGAACTGAACAATTAGAATAGCTGCTGTTAAGGTACGATATCTGTTATACACAGGTATCGGCTTGTAGTTACGAGAAAACCAATGATTAATCATGCCGATAGGTTACGTCGCGGTAATTACCAAGATCAGGCTACTTTTACGGTGCGCGTTTCATATTTGGCAGGAACTAATATTGAAGATCGTACTTAATAAACAGACTGGTCCGCGAGATATTAATTCCTTCGACTCAAATATTTGCCAGTGAAATTAATTCGTACGCTCCACAGAGAAATGTCACACGGACACGGGTAATCCAGCCAGAGAGATAACCATCCAAATACACAGCAATTACGCTTATAACCGACCGAGATGGCCAGCGCGTTGTATTTTATCCTTGAGCGTTTGAGTTCGAATGAAACGCGCGAATCGCTCTATACTTCTGCAACGAGAACAAATCCGGTAAACGCGACAAGTGGCATACTCGAGCTGTAACACCAAGTGAAATCGCTTCAAAAGTTGCTGTCCGAGAAACATTTCGCTAATTTCATTAAGAGATTGCTTCGTTTAATGAAATTTTTAAAGAATTTCCGTTGGCGTGTTTTCGCGAAAATTGCCTGTTAGCCGTAATGGCCGCGACGCTCGGGATTCACGGTTAATTAATGTGGACGAACATTGCCATTGAAAAGTGGGTTGACACTGTAACTCTTTCAGACGTAGACTCGTCCCATCTCGCGGAAATAGCCACGATACATGAACGTTCGCGATGTAAAGCGGAAACGAATTTTCTCGTAAAATACGAGATCCATTTACAAGCAAACGTCCTACCTGTGTCGGTGGAAACAGGCGACGCGAGCTTAGCGCAGGAATTTCCCAGTGGAGATTCGATGCCGATCGCTACAATTCTGGAAACCAAACATTTCGGCGTGTACATATATAAGGAAACCCACGATTTGCCAATTTGGATATCGTTCGTTTATCGTTGCCGCATTCGCCAGAGCATTGCCGGGAAATTAGGAAATCCGCGAAACTGCCCGTTGAATCTACAGTTTGCTTGTTATATTCCGGCTAATAACGAGGACTCCTTTGCTCGACCAACGAGTCTGCCACGTTCTTCCCAACATTTTCCTACATTGCATAAGACCTAATTATATTCCTTCGGAGTTAAAAAAAATATCGGCTTGAAGCTCGTGTTTTAAAACTTTACGTTAAACATCTTCGCTAAAGAATTCTCTTAGGTAACTAACGTGGGAGGTGAAATATAAAAATTCGAGCATCCTGGCAGCATCGAGCTTCGTTCGTATTAATCAAATTAACAAGACTCTCGTTAGCGAATTCTTTCGCGCGTAGTGTTTTCCAAGTTTTCATAATTATACGAACGAAGTTACAAAATACAAAGTCGTTTGTCTTAATTTCTCTTGACTCGGGTTGCTTCAACTCGAGTAATTCGATTAGTCCGAAAGAATTTTACACGAAGAGATCCATAGAGAGATTCGTAGCGTGGGAAACGTTTGCGCGAAGTGGCGCGAGAAGCTGCGATCGTCGCGTCCCAAAATACAGAAAATAATCGGCTTTTCACCGCGAATTAATCGCTGCAACCACTTCTCGCTATTTGTGGATAGACGAAAAACGAGTGATACAAACGTTGACATTTTGACAACGACGATTCGAACGCGATAGTACGAACAGAGGAACGAGAAGATAGCTATCCGATGACAAAAGAGGAAGAAATTAACGAGGCCGGTATGCAAAAAGACAACATTATCATACATTAAAGAGAAATTCCGCTAAGCTGAACCCAGGCTTTTGAGAGAATAAGTGGACATTGAACGTGAAAGCGGAGGGGTAGAGCCTGGAATGCCGCTTTCAACGTAAATCAACTGGAGTATGGGTTCAACGAATCCGATAACTTTCATCGCGGCTATCGCTGACTCGATTCTCGGTACCGAAGAGAACGAGGAGCAGCTTGTTTTTCGCGTTACTTTCGGAGACGAGGAATCTCCGGTGATTCAACGGACGAACAATAAAGGCAGCCAGCGCTGGAAGCATTGTCGTCGACCCCAGAGACGGGATTCACTACTCGTCTCTTTAATGCTCCGTAATTTCTTGGGCGATAATTAGCAACCACTTGCACCTCGTCCGGCGTCGACGGCGGCTTACGGTTGCAATTAAAAAATTTTTAATTCCACGGCACCTCGGTCTGTCCTGTGTTCCTCCCTCGTCGAAATCCCACGTACTCGGAACACACGCAAGTTACCACCCCCAGTTTTCGCCGTAATATGCCGGCTCGTTCGTCGCACTAACTTTTCACACCGTTCTTCACCCGCGCTTATTTCGCTTGAACTCGGGGCAAACTTTCACACCCCGTCTCAACGTCCACGTCCCTTTGAGACCAGGACTAATTTTTGCGCGACGAGATTAACCGTCACGTTCTACGGAAGACGTGGAAATGCGATGTCATTTTTGCCTCTCGTTGGTCTTAGTCTGCTAGCCTTCTATTTTTAACCTGTTAGCCGTTTTCAATGAGTATACTCGTCTTGAAGAAATGACAATGTTTCGCGTTACGTCGAGTATACTCGTCGCGCGTAAAAGATAGTTGCAGTTTGCTGTTTAAATTGCGATCTTAGTAATTGCAGTGATAAAATTAGAAAATAAAACGGTCTTTTCGTTAAGCCTTAATTCTACGTTGTAACAACCATGTATACTCTGTGTCCGACGAGTATACTCGTCAGAGTGTACTTTTCGCCACGCGTTTTACCTACATGTTTTTCAAAGAGGTGGCAACAGCTGGCTGGTTAAGATTCGACTCGACGGTACGACTCGATCGAGATGGACTGCTGTTATTATCGAGTATTCTCGTCATTTAAACCGCACAACCTGTTAATACTTGCAATGCAAAAGAATACTTTGATAAAAGTCGAACGTGCTGTATACGAAGCGTTTACCAAGACCTAGCAATTTCATTACTACGGTGAACCGTACGTTTAAACGTCGTTATAATGCCCGTTTTGTTTTCTCTTCAATTTTATACAGTCCGCTGAAAGGGAAACAAAGGAATAGGAAACTTCCGCGAATAATTATCCCATCCTTCCTAAGCTTCGGTATGTATCCTCCAAAAATTAAGATACCGTCCAACGGGAGAATAATACCGTCGCACGAAATTAAGGGATGATCACGTTCATCCTCGCTTATCCCCGAGGAAGACGTGACTGGCTAAATAATAGGAGGCTGTTACCGGGTTAGGACGCAACAAGCTCGTCTATTCG